GCAACAATCTATGGAGGAAAACTTATTTTACTATAATATTGGAATACAAGATAACACAATATATACAATTTAATTGCAATTGAGATTAATAAATCAGACAAGATGAGAGAGAGTTCCTGGGACTGATTCAAACCTGAAAAGCTTGAAACGGCTGGGAAAGCACCTCCAGCACCCACTGCAAGGCAGCAAGAGAGCGCCCCCCCACCTGGAAGGGCCAGATCCCGTGACTTCTGTAATGTACAGGGATAGGCACCTGGGATTGGGGCAGTGACACTTTAATGCCCCGTACACTACATGATGTTTTGATGTGGAATACTGAAACCAAACAAAAACAAAAACTAAAACAAAACATAGAACCATGACACCTTCCCTGCGGCGTGTTGACTGCACCACACAGCTTGGTGTCCTCTGCAAACTTGCTGTATGTGCATTGAATGTCACTCTCTATGTCACTGATAATGATGTTAAACAGTTCCATTCCTTACGCAAACCCTTGAGTGATGCCACCCACCATTATTATATGTTATATATCTAATGATATTTTATGTTACTGTTTACATAATATTGACGTGTTTAGTGAACATTAATATTACATGGTTTTCTGTACTAAATGTAACATTTGGCAGCTATACTGCCGATTATATATGTATTGGTTTTTGTTTTTGCTGACTTCTTAGTGTGTGGAAGTGATGAGTCATCTCTAATGAGAGGACATTTTGCTATTTTTCTCTTTTCTGATGTGAGTGATTGCTCTTTTGCAGGTAAAGTGGATGATGTACTGGATTGTTTTTGCCTTTTTCACCACTGCAGAAACGCTCACAGACATTGTTCTTTCTTGGTGAGTACTTTGGTAGCGTGTGGTGGGTTTGTTTTGGTTTTTTTTTTTTGTTTGTTTTGTTTTTTGTTTTTTGTTTTTTGTTTTTTTTTGTTATTATTTTTAGGGGTTTTTTAAGGTTTTTTTTTGTTGTTGTTGTTTTTTAAGGTAGTACTAAGAATAAGCTTTCTCTCTTGTGCAGGAGTTTTCAATGTCCATAAAGTATGCGGGGTTGTAAACATTGTGTCTAAGCTGCTGTCTTAACTGTTTAATCTAATTTCAGACAGCTAGGATAGACACAGCCTCTTTAAGAGGGTTTCATCCATTCGTAACATGAAACATTTTTGAGATACTGTTCCATGAAGTGATAAAGTTAGAGGCACAAAAAAAAAAAAAAAAAAAAAAAAAAAAGTTTGGGGGGGAGGATGGTAGAAGGAAAGGACCTGTTTTGCTTTGCAAGCCTGTTGTATGGAGGAGCAGATTGGATGCATGCCTTTGCTCTGAGATGATGATTTTGCATGATGAAAACGTCTTCCACTACCAGGGATGGAGTGAGGCAGCTTTTCGTCCCTCAGTACTGTGTCATGCGTGGCAGTATTCAAACAGAGGCATTCAACAGTGACAACAAAATATCATTTTCTTAATTGCTTTAGTGTCAGTGTCTTGCATGCATCTGGAAGATTACAGACCAGTCAGTTATGTCTTTTAAAGAAATAAGAAGTGGCTACATATGCTTTACGTATGCTCCACTGTTTTGCCCCTTCCTGCATAAAATTTGGGTAAGCAAAGATCTGAAAAGTACAAGAGCTTTGCCTTAAAAGTGAACCGCTGAAAACAGAAGTCTCTTAATACCAGCAGAGACGGGGAATTTTGTGTTCGCTTATTTGAATCTCCACTGTTGTATCTTCCCAGAGACTTTATTGAGTAAGAAGTAGTGATGAAAGGCTTATGCTGCCTGTTCTTAGCCACCAGCGTTAGTAACAACTAGAGAGCTCTAGAGATACTTAATTGAAAACTCCAATAAACGAAGCTGCTGCAATAGTAGCATTCAGCAGATAGTCTTTGAACAAACTAAAGAATGGTGAGTGGCGATGAGATCAGTGTGTTTGCAGGGTGAGAGGTGCCCAGTTTATGGAGTTTTTGTGGCTATGCATGCCAAACTGAATGAAATTCCAGGAAGGTGCGTCCTAGGATTCCAGAGAGGATTCTGCTATTCTGACCTGTTATATTGATTATTATTATTCTTCTATGTTTGAGTCCTTACTTTCTCTTTACTCATTCTGCCTGTGCTGCTGTCTACCAATTATCTCCATCTGTCTCTGTGATGATCTTGATTCCAGTTTTCCATCTTTCTCCCTATTTTCTTTTCTTTTTTTTTTTTTTTTTTTTTTTTCCCCTTCTCTCTTTCTCTCAGGTTTCCCTTTTATTTCGAGTTGAAAATCGCATTTGTGATTTGGCTGCTCTCCCCTTACACCAAGGGCTCCAGTGTCCTCTACAGGAAGTTTGTGCACCCAACGCTCTCCAATAAGGAGAAGGTACTCATGTGTTGGAACATACTGACCTGCCTGGAAGTTGATTCAATTTTCGTTCAGCTGTGAATCTTAATGAAAATTCAGATGCATAATTTGAGCTTCTGCTGATGTGTGTAGGCATAGAATGGTTGCCTCTGACAGTTATGTCATTCTGCAGCCTACTGAAGAATATAATGTAACCAGTATTTTGCCTAATGCTTAGAAAGTGTGTTTGGCTGTCCCAGCATCTTTAGCCCTTATAGCTACTATCAGTAGTTACATTTTTTTCAATCATGTTAGTAGCCATATGTTCTGTAGCCAGGCTTTTTTTTTCACATTCTCACGGTAAGCAATTGCTTTGTTTCAAATGTGATAATTTGGAGATTGCATTCCTTAAGTTACAGTTGCATTTGTAAGCTTTCTGTAAGTAGCAGAAAAAATATAATTATTTGATCTATGGCAGATTAGTCTGGCAGACTGAAAGAAAAAAAGTTGCCCTGATGAACGGTGAGTTTTAAAGATGATGATGGGGAAGACTGATCAAGTGTTTGCATTTGTTGGTTTATTTTTCATTGGTAGCTAAATGCTGTGGTGCATGTTGTTTTCTTAGGAAATTGATGAATACATTACTCAGGCTCGTGACAAAAGCTATGAAACCATGATGCGAGTTGGCAAAAGAGGATTAAATCTGGCTGCAAATGCAGCAGTTACTGCAGCTGCAAAGGTAATGTAACACCTGCACTACAAACGTGGTTTAACCTTCTGTGACCCTCTGGAATTCGGCAGTACTTTAGCTGTGTATACCAGGCATTAGTTGTGTTTGTTAGGGGTGCTAGTACTTGTTGTCTATTTTACCTTAACACCTGTTTGCCTTGCAGTAAATCTCGTCCTTTGATTTATGACGAGCAGAGGTAGAGTGGAACGGATTTTGCTCTAACCTCTTCCCCGTGGTCTTGGGAGCATACTTTTTTCCTTCTTTTTCTAGTGATGTTGGTTTCTTTGTACTTGTCTTATAGTATTGTAGTGGGGAATGTGGCACCTTCCTTTTTCTGAATGAGATGATTTTGGTGAAAGTGAAGTGTCTTTGACCCCAGTTTTTATGTGCTTAGGGCCAAGGAGTTTTGTCTGAGAAGTTACGAAGTTTCAGCATGCAGGATCTCACTCTGATCCGCGACGAAGATGCTGTGCATTTGCAAAGCCATGAGTCACAGCTTCGCCCCTCTGGAGGAAGCCTCCTTGAAACTATTGAGGATTCAGGTACAGAAAATCCCTGCTGGGCCACTGTGTGAGGCCTCATTTGGTAAGCCAGCAAGTGAGGATTCCTGGACTTCATGCGCCAGGTCTCTGAAAGACTACAAGTTTGCAAATTATCTGGGAGAAACTGTTCTTCTTCCTTGTTCCTTCCAAACTACTAATAAATCCTTGTACCTGGATTGTCCTTCTGAAGGAATTTTGACATCTCTCTTCCATGTGGTCCTTAAGGATGGGACAGTTTAGATTAGATGTAGGCACGTAAAGTCTAAAAATCACATCTGAATATGACTTTTCAAAAATATTTGAAAAAAACCTTTTTCTCATCTCTTAGCTTCCTGTTACTCCTCAGGAGAGGAGAGTGGCGTGGCACAGAGACCTAATGGAACCCCATCGGAGATTAGAACAGACCCATCAGATGAAGATGCAGGAGACAAACTGCCAAAACGTTCGCAGAGCCTCAAAGCTCCTAGGAAGATAACAAAATCTGAGGTGAGCAGGTGTATAAATTGTTTCCAACACAGACATTGATTCCTGAGGTTTTGTCAGAAGGCTCTGGCTTCATAGTCTGTGTGTTTAATAGCTGGTTTTTATAAGCGTTATTGGAGAGTTTGCTGCTAGAGTCCTACATCAGAGGACTTGCCATCTGCTTGCTGTCATCTTCTATAGTTTTTGTATTTTTATTACATAAGCCAGGACCTAGGTTTGCTTTCATATTTAGGCAGTAGATATTTTTAGAGTGTTCAAAATAGGTCTGGATCTTTCTTAAATCTCCAAGGCTTACTCCAATGTTGACCCTTCTACTTCCTTCCATAGTACAGTGGAAGTAGGCAGAGAAACATAAGGAGAAATGTTTTCTAGTGGGAAATTGTTGAAGTGACTCAGAAGTTGTGAAAAGGCTGTAATGACTCTCTGCCATTCATTGTGAATACAAAAACTCCAGTAAAGCCCATTGTAAGCATATCGTTTTTCATACGTGGCTTATTCTTTAGTTTGAATTACTAATTCAAGATGTTTCTATGATTTGGGCTATTAGGAATGGTCATCAGAAAGCAGAAAAGTTAATGCAGTGAAAATGCTGTGTTGGTGTTACTGCTTAGAACTTTTGTGATGTCTAAGGTTTTGCCAAGACAACTTACTTCAATTTGCTATTGCATTTCCTGTTCCGTGATGTCTTCCTTTCCTTATTGTTTTCTGAAGGATATGCTGAGAGTAATCTGATTAGCAACAACATAAATATTTAAATAGTGTTTTTGAAACAATAGATGATGTGAATAGGGTCACTGTGCTGTAGCTTTTTTGTCCTACTTTCTCTTTGCATCTTTGTCTCTTTCTGTTAGACATCTCGGTGTTGCAGTAAACTAATATAAGATACCTCTTTCTTTCTCCTCAGTTGCCTGTAAAAAGTGTGAAAGCCCGCCCTAAGAAGAAAGCTGCAGGTTCTCTTACTTCTGGGGAGTCATCCTAAGGAGCCCTCCCCTCCACAACACCCGTCTCTGTCCCAGGATTTGCCTGTAGCTTTTGAGTGGAAACTCTCCTAAGGAAGGGAGCTGAGATTAATGTACATAACAGATACTGCTTTGTAGAGCTCGTTCTAAGGTCAAGGGGGGAGGCTGGGATTCAGAACGTGGAATAGAGGATGCACATCCTCAGGAATTTTCTCCTTTTCATCCCCCTCTTGGAGAAAGTGCTAATGTGTCTGTACATAACCTGTTGCTTTGAAATTCCTTCCGTATAACCCTAACTGGAGAAAATCTTGATGAGGAGAACTGACCAGGGTTAGAGATACCTGTTGCACTGATGCTGGAAAAATAATCAGACAGTGGAGTTCCTCGGGGTTGGGTGGCTCCCCACATTGTCTTATTTTGCTCTGGGTATTCTTCTGCAGCTGTGTTAAGAAGTGCCCACAACGATTCATCCGTCTTAAGAACAGACCACAACTGTCATGTCCATCCCCTTCCAGAAGTGACTAAAATGGTGTATGCTGAGTGCTTTTGAATGTAAAGGACTCACTCATGGGAGGAGTAAACCAGATTATGGATTTTAGTACTGGAAGATGAGCTTGTTTTTATTTTTCTAAAAGGTTAGTGATGAAATTAGTAAGCTTAGTTATGAAGAAAATATGCTGTTGTCTGCATACATGAAGGAGTAGATAGAGATATCCACGGGAGGTGGCTGTTGAGAAGGAAAGGTGATCATTCATAAGATTTTGGCAATTTTTTTTTTTTTTTTAAAAAAAAAAGCTACTTGAGTTTTATTTCTGTTGTTCACTTTGATTCCTGTAAAATCAGAGTGAGAGCATTTCTGTGCAGTGGGAAAAGCAGTCAGTTTGCCAGTTGTTGAATTCTGTGTCACAGTGATGCTTTTCTACAGACTAATTCTTACTTTCTAGCAGATTTCTGGGGAAAATCTGACTCACTGTAGTCTGCAGACATACTAGAGAACTCCAGAAGCCCTTGTCTTTCAGCTTTAGGAGATCTATTCTCAGAGTACAAGAACAGACAAATAGCTGATGTACAACCTTGTCTTATTGCAGAATTCGATTTATGGAGGATAAAAGAGGGGTGGGGTGATTAGGGCTCACTATTCTGCTTTATCAGTCATCTTGCTTTATCCTACTCCAGCTCTTGCACAAATTTTCTTTTTTGACCATTAGCCATGCTTATCAATGTTCTGAGACCTGAGCAGCATCCAATGCTTATAACAGAATTACGTTGCATGTAGAATATATGTTGTTGGAATGAAACTGCAGAGAAAAGATGAATAGAAATGCATAGCTCTCCTGTTGTTGAGTTCTGTAATGGGGGAGCACCATCACAGAGAGCTCGTGATGCAGACATTCATGTTTGCTTGTGTCTCGTGCTGTATATTTCCCAAATTACAGTAGATTCATCTCAGCGACCCAGCATTATTGTTATTGACAATGTATGGAAGGCCCGCTGTAAGATTCCACAAATATTTCTGTCCTAAGGAATAGCCCTTCAGAAGTTTGTAAAGCTGAAGATTGAGGCTGAATTTTTTATTTCATATTGTCTTGGTGTCAAACTGTTATGAATTACCCAATGTTTGGGGAAAACATTTGCTTTTACTTTTACTTTTCTTTATCGCTTTTAAAATTTTAAACCTTGACTGACTGTGTTAAAAACTTGCATCTTGTCATTAGTACTTGTCCTAAAGCATGCACAAATTCTTACCCAGATCCAGTAGAAAATCTTTGATTTTACTTTGGGATTTGAGTTGGGGAGGCAAAGGGTTGAAGGGGAAGGAGAAAGTGTTCATTTTTTCTTCTGTTAGAAAGCACTGTATACATGCCTCACTAGTACATGGAATGGCAAGTACTGCAGCAAGAATTCTTTCTGTTCCCAGTGGAAATTCCTCTCCTTATTGAATATGAGGAAGATTAAGTCGTGAGGAATTGTTCAGTACAAGAAACTCTAGGACGCAAGAAACTATTATTCTCTATACTCAAAATACCTCTATAACCATATTTCTGTATTCTTCTTTTCCAACAAAAAATCTCCATGGCAAATTATTTATCTAAATCATTGTGAGGGAGTTGATTTGGAGGCAAAGGATTAATTAGTCTGTCCTTATGCTAATCTTTCTGCCTTCTTGTGCATGCTTTGATAGACTCTGATTATTAGGTTTTCATACAGTGACTTTCCAGAATGCTTTCTAGATTCAGTTCATCTGCAGTAACTTGTCCTGCTTTTAATTGCAAGAAGAATTTCTGAAGATTCAATTTTGGTGTTTGGATTTGCTTTTGTCCTCCTGAACGAGATGCTTTACTAAGTATCTTTTACTTAACATTGATGCTTGATATCATAGCCTTTGGGTAAGTATGGGTCAATCGATCTGACTTCTTGTATAGGGAGATTAAATCATATCTTTTTTAAATTAAGAATCTGGAGTAGTTACAGGCTATGTGGAGTGTGTGAGATACAGAGCTGATGATGTTAGGCAGCAGAACTTGTCCCAGAGCAAGATAATGTCTTAGAATGGACACTGTTTTCTTCTTCCAGTACAGATGTGACTGCTAGACTTCGCTCTGCTTGATCAAAGCCTCTGCAGATCTGCCACCACCCTTAGTGAATTCCCAGATATAGTTCTGCATTGGATGACATGGTCTTGCATAGAAATTCTCTTGCTAATGAGAGTGCTGAATGTGCTGTTTTGATAAAATGCTTTTAACAGCTGTTGTTCAATGTTTCCATCGGGAAATGCTGGAATGTAGTTTCTATTCAGTATCTTCTGTGAGCTTGATTGTGCAATTAAGCAAATGGTTTAATCTGTAACTAGCAGTAGAACCCACTGAGTTCAGTAAGCATTTGTACCTCTTTCCTCATAACATAATTTCCTCTGGACACAGAAAGGAATGCAGAGATTTCTAGAGAACCCTGAATTTCCAGAAATTGGTACTTTTGAATCTTATTTCTCTATTGCCGTCTTGATAGGCAGGAAATGTGTGCCTTAGGAAGACATTGGGGTGGTCATGGAACATGCTGCTAGTTCTCTGGCAGAACAGAACATTGTATGAAGGCGGCTTATGTGCTGACTATGTAGTGTCGATGAGCCTCAGAGCAACTGTTGAGCTGTTCTGAGTTTTTCTTTCTGTCTTCCAAACTTGCATGCAATTCTAGAAAGTATGGGTTATTGCCTAAGAGAGAAATCTGGAAAGAGGGAGAAAATCCTTATCCTTTTTTCTGATGAAGACATTGCATTGACATCTTATTCTGCTGTTTGCCGGGGAGATGCTGAATGACACTCCTTTATGTAATTGTTCAGTTTTAGAGATGTTCTTAGATTCCTTTTGGGAACCACCAGGCTGACACATCTTGTGCTGCTCTTTGAGTTGCCCTGTGAATACACATGGAAAACCTGCAAAATATTCTGTGAGGCTGTGTGAGTTCAGAGAAGAGTTGAGTTCAGACGGGGATCTCTGCAAGTCATCTGGTCTGACAGGCCTGCTCAAGCAGGGCTACTTAGAGCTGGTTGCCCACGAGTTCCTGTGTTATACATGGTCTAGAGCCTACTGAATTTAATGTTTTATTAATGGTTGAATTTAATGTTTTTGTATATGCATAAATGCACATGAAGCATGGGAATGTACTTTAGAGTTACCAAGGAGAAAGGATCGGAGAACAGTCACCTTTCATCTGGAATTTGGCACTATTACAAGATGCTGTAAACAGCTCAGTTTTATGTTGTTTCTAAGGTGCTGCTATGAAACCTAATGGCTTCAAATGAGAAGAGGTCTTAAGGAGTGTGCAGAGTAACTTGTGGGAACAAATAGTTTGAAGGTAAATGAAGACAATGAGCTTTCACAGCAGCAAAGAACCTGTCTTGTGAGATAGGGTAGGGTGGAAAATGTGTTATGTGCAGTACAGATTTGTCTAGGAAATAGTGACAACTGTTTTCTGAACCTCTGACCTTACTTCAGCTCTGTATTCTACAGATTGGAATCTGGTTTCTCTCTTACAGAAACCATCCACCTTTCTAAGCTGGGCTTGACCTATGTGTATTTAGATTCTTGAACCTTTCATCACCTCAGAACCATAGAGTTTGAATTTTTCCTCAGTGGTCTGTCAGATTGTGGAAAGTACCTGATAAATATCAAGCACTCTGTAGTAGACATCTTATACTGGGAAAACACTAGCAAGGAGCTCCAGGGGATGGGTTAATCTGGGAAACTGAATGTGCAAACAAAGCCTGTGTTATGCACCTTTTTAGCTAAATGCTGAATTTTGCTACAGTCATGTACCAGCTATCTGTAGAATCCCAAAAATTCCATGTCATAATTGTCAATGTTTTGTTTGTAAAGAAAAACTGGAATCACAATAACATGAAGTGGAAAAAAAAACAGTGATAAGCATGCTTTTTATTTTGTTTTGTTTTTCCTGGTAATTAGGTTGTAGCTACTGCTTTTCCTGAACTTTTTCTATGACCATATAACAGGCAAGTCATTATTTTCTTGCTCTGTTTCTCAGCTCTGACAACCTAGAAGTAACATTTGTGAGAAGATGCGAAATTGAATGTACTTTTGGTGGCCGATAGGCAGAGTTTCATATAATGGACAGCTTTCTGAGCTGTATCTGAAATGTTTGCTGCTGCAGCTGAAATGCAGTGCTAAACTGACTAATCAAAGATAAGAAATTTAGTCATAGTCTTTGCAGCAGGTCGGAAAGGGAGAGTTCTGCTAAATGGCAAACAAATGTAGGCAGTACTGCCAGAGTACGTTTCATAGCAGTATTGTAGGAATAACAGCTTGGGTATGCATAAGTGAGTATCGATACACAGTAGTTGACTTGCAGCAAAATTTAACTGGCTGAGTTGCCTTGTTTCTTGACAGGGAAGATTAGCCTAGCTCATCCATGCAAATAAACTTTGTATAGGTGTCTATAGTCTGTGTATTTAAACAGTGGGCAATTACAACATGTTTAAAGAAACTTTCTTTTTTTGCTTTTATCCTCTCCACCCATTCAGACAAATGAGGAAAAAAAAAAAAAAAAAAAACCAAGCAAAGAAAAAAAAAAAACAACCAAACTTCCTATAGTTTTCATTGCTTTGGTAACAGTAGGAGAAATTAAGTTTTCTGGTTATTATCCAGAGTTTGGACAAAGTGTTGTTCTGTCATACAGGAGATGGGCCTCAAGCATGCTTACACTGTTGAGGGTGGGAGATATTTCTCTTGAAGCTTTGATGGAAATGCCTCATTGGCACACAGTTATGTGTTTAAAATGCACTGAAAAATATTCTGAAATTGAGAGTCAGAAGCACTTGTGTGTAGCTTATCTTGTTTGCTTATAATTTGCAAGAGGTAATGAAGATTTTTGACTCACAATGTATCAGAACTGTGGTATCTATATTCATGACAACGGACATCAGAAATGCATAAATGAGCACTGAAGCATTTCTACTAACCAGCTGGCACATTTCACGAGAGGTAAGTTAGACTTAAAGTATGAATATCTTAATTCTATGTTATAGTTTTCTAGAGAGAAAACTATGTCAGGGACTGTAAGAACAAAATGGTTACTCCCTAACAAATTATTAGCTTTCGTGTGTGAATGAAAGCCAGTATGATAGCCTCTGTAAGATAAATTCCTTCAAATAGAAGGGATGTTCAAAGTGTCCAACAATATTTTACCATCTTCATTCAATATTTTGCTGATTATCACCTTTTTACACAGCTTATCACTTCTGCATGTGCACTTGACTGCCTGTCTTAA